CAACGAACCTGACAATGAGTACTAGGGTACGGACGAGGGCTAATCCTTGCTACGGCGTAGGTGTGACGCTTGGATTTTACGAGTTCGGGCCCCTCACAGAGTGGTAACAACCCTATGTCTCGAGCCCAGGGGCTATGTTTCTCTAGTGTCTGAAGATTACAAAGGATGTGAACCTTTGTCTCAGCGCTATGGGGCGACTTTATATAGAGTTCGCCCCTCATTATGGCTACGTTACAAGGGAGATGAAAGAAGAAATTTATTATAGGAGTTACTGGTAATAGAGGCCTTAACTGCGTTTAGTAGCCTAACATCGTGCTCCTTGGACGCTTCAGATTCCTCCAGTCCCTTCGCCTCCCTGGTCCGAGTGTAGGCGGGTGTAACCGAGTGACTGCGGTGCCCGAGTGAGTTGCTTCCATCCGAGTGGATGTTCTGGGGCGAGAGCCTGACTGTGCCTATGGCTCAAGAGCCTCTTGGTCCATTGATGTGGGGTCCTAGGTGGTTCCAGGATAACAACTCTATGACCCTACCCTTAGTGGGTGACCCCATCGTTAGCCCCCGAATCGGTTGAGGTTTTGCAGGACAAATTAGTTGAACACTATCATCGTTGGTATTTGTTTGTTTTTCTCTCTCTCGTGATCTCTTTTATCGTATTGCTTTGGTTTGTGTTTGTGAGACCTGGAGACCGAGACATATGGTGTGAGACATATGCTACCCTTATTATCTTATGTCTAGTATTATGTTAGCCTGTGAGATATCATACTTATCTTGTGCCCTATCCTTATGCTCACATGCTATTCCTTACATCTTCGATTATCTTTCTTATATTGTTGATGCAAGTGTTGTCGGTCTATAAAATATAGGGGGGGGGGTGTTGATCCTAATGTGTGTACTTTGCATTCCAAAAGCATACTTAATTAGTGCACACATCTAGGGGGAGCCTCTATATTTTGTAGATGTTGGGTTTGCATATTATCATATCTTATCCTTGTGTAAATCCTGTGTTGTCATTAATCCACCAAAAAGGGGGAGATTGTTAGGGCATATTCCTCCCTTAGAGGTTTTGGTGATTGATGACAATGCTTTTGCGAACTAATCGTGTGCATTGTGTTGGGAAACGTTGCATGGAAAACAAAAAAATTTCTACGCACACTCAATGATCTATCCATGGAGATGCATAGCAACGAGGGGGAGAGTGTGTCTATGTACCCTCGTAGATCGTAAGCGGAAGCGTTTTAACAACGTGGTTGATGTAGTCGAATTTCTTCGCGCTCCAATCTGTCAAGTACCGAACGTATGACCCCTCAGCGTTCTGCACATGTTCAGCTTGGTGACGTCCTCCGCCTTATTGATCCAGCAAGACGGCGAGGTAGTAGAAGAGTTCCGGCAGCACGACGGCGTGGTGACGGTGATGGTGAAGTGATCTCCGCAGGGCTTCGCCTAAGCACTACGAAAATATGATCGAGGGTGCAAACGGTGGAGGCGGGGGCGCCGCACATGGCTAGGCAATTGTCTGGTGTGTGCTAGGCGCCCCCCTCCCACATATATATAGGTGGGAGGGAGGGAGGAGCAGCCAAAGGAGGCTCCCAAGTAGGAGGAATCCTACTTGGAGTCCCTCCCAAGCCACGCTCCCCCCTGTCTTATATAGGTGCCGGGGAAAGGCAGGGGAGGGTGGCGCCCTGATACGTCCATTTTGCATCATGTTTTCCTACTGTTATTTATGATATTTTATGCACAATAATGCTTTTTGGAGTAATTCTAACGCCTTTTCTCTCATAATATGCAAGGTTCACACAAAGAGGGAGAATACCGGCAGCTATTTCGGGAGGACTTTCGGGACGAAGTTCTGCTATTTCGAGGCGGAACTTGGGTATGAGCACTTTTGCCCTTCGGCGGAGCGATTCCGCCGGGGGAACTTCCTGCTCGGAGGGGGAAATCATCGTCATCATCATCACCAACAACTCTCCCATCTTGGGGAGGGCAGTCTTCATCAACATCTTCAACAACACCATCTCCTCTCAAACTCTTGTTCATCTCTTGTGTTCAACCTTTGTACCGGAACGAACCTTAGATTGGTGCTTGTGGGTGACTAGTAGTGTTGATTACATCTTGTAGTTGATTACTATATGGTTTATTTTGTGGAAGCTTATATGTTCAGATCCAATATGCTATTTAATATCCCTCTGATCTTGAGCATG